GCCTCTCGCTCGAGGCGTTCGCTTTTGTTTGGGTGCAAAGTTTTCCTGCGCAATACCGAATGCATCGAGCGCATTCTTTTGTGATCTCGCCTTTGACTTTTTGTTGGCGGCTTTGGCTTTGGGTGCTGCCACAAGGGGCCTTCCGTGAGCCTGTCGTCCACCCATTGTATTTCTCGAGCTTCAGTGTCCAAAATGTCGAGAATTGTGGTGGTTAGCAAAACCGGATTGCGACGTGAGACGGTTGAATGGCGTCGTTGCAGCTTTGCCGTGTAACACTTTTTTTCAACTTTTCTGCCGTGTAAAAAAGTTTGGCGGTGAGATGATCCTTGGCGGGGCACCCAATGAATGAATGGATTTGATATGCGGGTAATGGAGCCTGTGGACAGTAAAAATGGTGTGTGAGATAAGCCTATCATGATCGTTGTAAATTACTGATTGCAGTGGGGAGCTGGGTCCTTTCCCACTGAAACGGACCTTCACCAGTACCGAATACCGAGTCATATTGGATCAGATGGCGATTTTATTGTGTCGTATGATCTATAATTGAGCCACTACTTCTCCATCATTAACTCAATTGTTGTCCTCTGTTCACCTTTAGAACATTGGCTTCTATCATGGCGTCCTCCTTCGCCCCTGGGTTCCGGAGGTTACTCTTCCAGGCCTCGATTACAGCATCGGGGCCTTCAAAGTTCTTCGTATGCAACCAATATCTTCGAACTGCTCCCCGGAGCATGCCCTCTCGAGTTCTTAACGCCGTCCGATCACGATCCTACGCCGATGCTGCCGTGAGCAAGTCAATTGGATCCATTGCCGAGCAGGCTTCTGTTCACGCATCCCCCTCTGTTTCTCAAGCTGCCAAGAAGGCATGGCCTGAATCGAACCCCAAGGGTGTCGGCCTCTGGCTTATTGGCAGTGCTGTTAGTGTTTTTGGTATCGTCGTTTTTGGTGGTCTGACACGGTTGACCGAATCTGGGTACGCTATGTGCTCACTTGCAATAATTGAGAAACCCAGCTAACATCATAACAGCCTGAGTATCACTGAATGGAGACCTGTTACCGGTTCGCTTCCCCCCATGTCTAAGGAGGATTGGGAATCCGAATTCGAAAAGTACCGCGCTTCGCCCGAGTTCAAGCTTCTCAACCCTCACATGGATCTCGAAGAGTTCAAGAAAATCTACTTTATGGAATGGTTTCACCGTGTTTGGGGTCGCTTCATTGGTCTGACCTTTGTCATCCCTACCGCCTATCTCGTTGCTCGTCGCAAAGTTACTCCCAAGATGGCTTTGAACCTTGCTGGAATTTCTGCTTTGATTGGTTTCCAAGGCATTATCGGCTGGTGGATGGTCAAGTCTGGTCTCAAGGATGATCTGTTCGCCCCTGGTTCTCACCCTCGTGTCTCCCAGTACCGTCTCACTACTCATCTTGCCACCGCCTTTGTCTGCTACTCCTGGATGCTTGTATCTGGTCTTACCGTTCTGCGAACTCGCCGCTGGCTCATGAACCCCGAGGCAGCCATGAAGCAGATCAGCGAAATGAGCCAGCCTGGTCTGCGCACAATGCGCCGTGTCGTCTTTGCCCTTGCCGCGCTGACCTTCACTACTGCCATGTCTGGTGGACTCGTTGCTGGCCTCGACGCTGGACTTATCTATAACGAATTCCCCAAGATGGGTCTAGGTATCTTCCCCCCCAAGCAGGAGCTATTTGACAAGTTCTACTCGCGAAAGGAGGACCATTCTGATCTCTGGTGGCGCAACATGCTTGAGAACCCTAGCACTGTTCAGATGAACCACCGGATCCTTGCCGTGACTACGTTCACATCTATTCTTTCTCTCTTTATCTACGCTCGCACCAGACGTGTCAAGGCCATCCTCCCCATCAACATCAAGAAGGGTGCCAACGGCCTTTTCCACATGGTATCGCTTCAGGTCGCTCTCGGTATCAGCACTCTCATCTACATGGTGCCTATCTCCCTCGCGGCAGCTCACCAGGCTGGTGCTTTGGGCGTCTTGACCATGGCCCTTGTGTTGGCTCACAGGCTGCATATTCCCAAGCCTACTCTTCGTCTTCTTGAGAAGCGATTGAAGGCGGCTGCTGCTGCTAAATAGATGATTTGATGACGTTATAAGACCTGGGAAGAGAGCATGTAAATTATCACTGTACAATATGGTACCATACCAATAGCATCAATAGAATCGCGAAAAGGGCAGCTGGTTCGGGCTGCTGAGGCGTTTGTAATAACACCATACATATCATTCAACACACGAATCTCCAAATTTTGGAACACATAAACCTGCGGGCCAAGGCGACATATTGTACCGTTTAGTGCACATAGACAAAGATTTTCAAACCCCGACTCGTAGTGGAAATAAACCATGCCCTCGAAAGACAAAAAATAGCTGGCCATTGGGCTTTTCTAACCGAAGTTTGAGCGGGCTACCTCATAAGGGAATCTTCGAGATGTACTTCTTAACAAACCAAAAGCATTTCATTTTTTTGTTCTATTTCCAGGATGAAATCTTTGTCCCTCCTGGTATCATTGTCTCAACGTTAAATCATACTCCCAACCTCATCACAAAACCCTTACATATACTATTTCTCAATTTTACTTGTGAGCTACAGCAAAATTAGTCATCATGTCAAGATCAGTGAAGACGCTCAAACTTACCAATGCCCTCCTCAGGCACGGGCTCAATGCCAACCACCTCAGCGGCCAGTTGCTTCTTCTGCTCCAGCTTGTCGTCCTTCATGAAGGGGAAAGTAAGAACCTCACGGATGGTGTAGTTGTCAGTCAGGAACATGACCATTCGGTCAATACCCATACCCCAGCCGCCAGTAGGAGGCAAACCGTACTCGAGCGAGGTACAGAAGTTCTCATCGACCAGCTGAGCCTCGTCATCACCCTGGTCCTTCTGACGGGCCTGCTCCTCGAAACGCAGACGCTGGTCGAAGGGATCGTTCAACTCGGTATAAGCATTGGCGATCTCCTTCTTGCACACGAAAGCCTCGAATCGCTCACACAGACCGGGGGTCTCACGGTGGTACTTGGCGAGAGGGCTCATGACCTGAGGGTGGCCAGTAATGAAAGAGGGGTTGACACACTTCTCCTCGATGAACTCGCCAACCAGCTTGTCAATAATGCGGGCGTTGGTCAGAGGAGGTGTGCACTCCAGGTTCATCTTCTTGAGGACCTTCTTGAGGAACTCGTTGGTCTCTTGAGTATGGAGCTGGTCACCAGAAGGGAACTTCTCGCCAGTAGCCTCCTCAAGAGTGGGAATCATCTCATATCGAGGCCAGGGTGCCTCCCAGTTGACCTCGTACTTCTCGCCACTCTGAGTATGGAAAGTAGTCGTATAGCCACCAGTGAGGTACTTGACAAGACCGGAGATCATGTCCTCAGTGGTCTTCATCAGGTCGTTGACGTCCGCGTAGGCCTCGTAGAATTCAATGGTGGTGAATTCAGGGTTGTGAGTAAGATCAGCACCCTCATTTCTGAACTGACGTCCAATCTCGTACACGCGGTTGAGACCACCGACGACAAGCATCTTGAGGTAGAGTTCAGGGGCGACACGCATGAACATCGGCATATCATACTCGTTGTGGTGAGTGGTGAAGGGCTTGGCGGTAGCACCACCAGCAATTTGGTTCATCATGGGAGTCTCAACCTCGACGAAGTCACGCTCGTCGAAGTATCGGCGAATCCAGGTGATCATCTTGGATCGGGTGATGAAGACGTTACGGGCCTTCTCGTTGCAGATGAGATCCAGGTATCGCTTGCGGTATCGCTGCTCGAGATCCTTGAAGCCGTAGTGGTCATCGGGAAGGGCGTGCAGACAAGGAGTCAGGAGAACAACCTCAGTGGCGAAGATGGACAGCTCACCCTCCTCACCCTTCTCAATCTTGGTCTTGGGGGCAGTTCTAGGATGATGTCAGCTCTAAGCTTTCTTCAATTGATAGTTTGTCAACTTACCGACCAGGGTATCCGATAATGCCGATGATATCACCTCGGCGGAGGTGTTCATGCTGATCCTCGAAAGAAGGAGCTCCCTCGCGAACCTCTTGAGCCTGGCACATGATCTGAACCTTGACACCTTCAGTTCGAACATCGTAGAAGAGGAGCTTGGCGCCAGATGCTCGCTTTCCGTGGACACGGGCACCAATTTGAATGATCTTGTCCTTGGCGTGCTCGCCAGACTTGAGGTGACCAAACTCCTCGACGAACTTTCGCAGGTCGTATGTAACATTGAACTTGTGAGGATAGGGGTTGGGGCTCTTGGTCTCGCGGAGCTTGTTGATGTTCCTGGATCGGATCTCGAAGTACTGGTTGGGGGTGAGGTCCTTCTCAGCAGCCTCAGCACCACCGGCAGCCTTCTTGGGAGCAGGAGCAGGACCACGCTCGGCAGCCTTCTTCTTCTTTTCCTCCTCCTTCTGGCGGGCCTTCTGGCGCTTCTTCAACTCGGTCTTGGAGATCTTCTCACCAGTTACCTCGTCGAGGTGCAGGTTGGCAACCTGCTCGGTCGGAGGGGCAGCAGCATCAGCCATAGTTGCGTCTCGTTCTCGCGAATGTGGAATTGATATGGCAGGATCTCCAGATCAGGCGTCGATACCTGATTTAAATCTCTTCTGCCTGCAAAATGAGTCAAGCTGTGATGTTGTGAGTCAGTGGATCAGTCAGGGCAGGAGGAGGGGCAGAAGAAATGGTGGGCGCCACAATCGCGGGGTAAATTTTTACTCAGGCATTTACCTACTTGTTCAGCCACATGTGTATCAATTGGCTAGTAGATATTCATTAACACCCAAAGTACTGAGATACGCCAATTACAGAAAAGAGTCATGGACAAACACAGGTAGTTTATCAGTATTGGTCATATTATTGCATCGCGGGCAAAAGCAGATTTAGCTCGCTCAAAGTCTTTCATCATTACGGGTTGCTTTTGGTGATAGCCTACCTACCTAGATCAGGTATTGATTATGCTATGAAACACATAGTGGAAATGACGGTGCTATTCCAGATACATGGCATCCCCACGGACTCCCTGCATTGCCATGGCTATATCTCCTCCGTGCATGCCTGCATTTTGCATCGCCATATTCATGTTAGGCATAGAGCGGCTCAAATTGATTGCGGCACGGTTGACAGGACTTCCTGCACCGTTGGGCATCATGAACTGTGCATTACGTTGCTGCTGCATAGGACGTGTACGTGGCACCTCGAGGGATGCTTGCTGCTGAATAGGTTGTTGTGGTTTGATCGGAGAAGGGTTGACCATGGCAAAGCTATCATCGTCTTCCATTTCTGCATCGGCATCTTGATCGCTATTCTCAGCAGTGGAAGATGGGTCGGTCGTAGCGGTTGAGGCGGTGGTATGTTCGCTGGTTGCGCCATTAACACTGGTGGTCGAAGGACGCTTAGAAAGTTGAGGTCGCTGAGGTTGTTGTAATTGTTGTTGCTGCTGCTGCTGTTGTGCTTGGAATTGTGGCTGGGATGGTGTCTGAATTTGTGGCGTAGATTGAGTGCCGTTGACAGTTGTACTATTGGAAGCTTGACTGGATTGGTCCAAGGATCTTTGGGCATTCATTCCATTGGCATTGGCTCTCGACGAAGCAATGACACTCTTCCATCGCTCGATAGACCTCGAGACGAGGGTTGAAAGATCAATCTGGCTATCCTCGAGGGAGAAACCAACAGCCCTTCCACCCTTCACGGCCTGTTCGTAAGAAAGAGCAAGAAGTTCTCGTTCCATTGGGATTGTGACAGGTGGCGCGAGCCTGAACTCTTTCGGTTGCTGAAGCTTGTTCAGTTGTTCAATCTGGGACTTGAGATTGGCATTCTCTTGTTTGAGTCTGTGCTGCTGTTCCTTCATCTTCTCGGCCTCCTTGTGCTTTCTTCCCACACCTCGAGCCAATTCGAGGATCCAAAGCTCTTGCTGTCGCTGAATTGGCAAAGTTCCCCACACTGCGTACGCCGATTGAAGATGCTCATCCACTTGCGCCTCCAGTTGTTCTGCCGCCTTCTCAGCCTTCCGAACGGACTCTCGAGGGTTTCGGAAACTGTTTGCTGTGGGAGGATACTTGAACTCATCCATCACGGCAGTGGTAGCAGCAGCACAAGTCACTTTCCAAGCCTTGAATTGCCCTGCGAACCAAGTCTGTAGAGCTTCGAATTCGCGCTGTCCTGGCGACTGGACGGACCATGATGTCGATGTAGGATGCTGCGTTGATGAGAAGAGAGTTGGAGGAGGTTGTAAGCATTGGAGGGTCAACGCAGGGAAGTCGAGAGACAGAGGGTCGAAGTCGAATGGCATCGAGTTATTGTCGAGTTGTACCCTGGCACAAGGTTAGCTTTTTATGACCAAAGCGGCTACAAAAGTCAATAGACATACTTGGCTGCCCTCCAAGAACTAAGAAGCTCCCGCAATGCTAACTCCGCAGCACGTGCTGTATCCATGGCATCGGAAACTTTTTGTTTGACGTCGAACTGGGCCTTCTGAATGGCTTGCTTACTAGCAGTCCGTTGCATACCGGGGCGTTTTGGTGGCTCGGGTGCGGCGTCGCCTTCCCAACGGCCTCTTTTGGGGATATCGTTCATGACGCCAGTGGCCTCCCATGTCGGTTGGAAAGGAGGCGCATATTTCATAGTCTGATCAACGACGAGCTGGTTGCTCTTGGAAATGACTGGTGACTGGAAATCCTCGTTTTCGGGGAGAGATGTTTCCTTCATTACAGGTGCTCTTGGTGTTCCTACAGGAGTTGAGGTTTCCCGTCTCCCTCCTAACGAACCTCGCGCCTGTCGCCTTGTGATACCACCACGGAGCTTCTTGATAGCATCGACATCGTGAACACCATCTGGTGGTTTTGGGTTCTTCTCTTTAATGTACAGATCGAGATGGCGACCTAGGGAAGAAGAGGTGAAAGCCTGCCCGCAAAAGGGGCAATTTTTGTCTTTAGGGGCGCCAGCTTTGGGGGTTCCTGAATCGGCAGTTTGGGGCGTCGAATCGGGCATTTTGAACGAGGTGTGAAGGATCAATTTGAAGGAAAATTAGGGGAACGCGAGAGTTTTGATTTTTTTTGCGAGAGCGAGTGCCGAGAAGGGAATACGGAGGTCTCGATAACTATAAGAGTGGGAAAAAAAGGTCGACGACTACGGCTCCAAATGGGGAGCTGTACAGACGTTAATCATAAGGAGCGAGCGAGGGTTGAAGAGAAAAAAATAACGAGCGTATTGGGGCCGAAACCTCCGGACGGAAGGACAGGTCAATAGACGTTTAGGTAAATCTGGGCATGGATGAAGTTAAGATGAAATTGAGAAGAGAATGATCGAGATGTGAGTTTTCGGGATAGATAACAAGAGAGCGAAGTCGAAGTCGAAAGCGAGAGCAAGAGATAGAGAGAAGAAATTGAGAGACTCGAAATGTTTAGCTAGTTAAATTTAGAGGCGAGCGATGAGAGAGAGACTAAAGGGGAAGCCAGGTCTCGTAGCATCACTGCGTTTAATTGTTCTTTTGGGTTTTTCCCCCCTCTCCATTTTAAAATAAAGCCTCCTCCCAGGTGAGGTCCATTTCTATTCAGGGGCGGAACCAATCCAACCAAGACCCCCGAAATGGACCCCCAGATTGGCGCCACCAGCACTAAGCAGCACCCATGAAACCCCTGACTTAGTGGCCGTCCCGCCGTCTGGATGTCTCTCCCGCTGCTCGCTTAGCGCTGATCGGGCTTCTCTGAGAGGTCCGGTTTAGTGCCGTCGGGACCTGGAGCTTTCTGTCGATGCTCCTGAGATCCATGGAACCTACCTCATCTTTGCCTTGGTTCTGTAGGGCAGGGCAGGGCAGGGCAGTTTTGGTTTATTTAGGGTTTTCTAACGGCAAGATCTCGATTCATAATGTAAATAGGTAGGTACCTACTGTACGACTAGTAAAGACATTGGCGGGGAGAAAAAAGCACTTTTGAACAAAGACTTGCCAACTTTCTTGACAAGCTCATCAGAGCTGCGCATCTCATATAGCTAGCTCCTGGATTCGGCCATCGGCAATTGTACTAGACGGTGTAGTTGATCGGCCAAGGGTGGCTAAAAGGGGAGGAGGATATGCAACTATAAATACAACAATTTCTCATGGATGCTAATATTAGGCTATGGAAATCACACATGTTAACAATTTACTCTTGACGCCCTCTTTTCACTGTTCTAATGAGATGGAGTTGGTAGCCCACTAGACAATGTCGGTTATGCTCATAGTATTACTAGAAACCCACTTGCTGCTCTACATTCAACCACGACCCTTGAAGGTCGACTGTTGGTCAGATTCCTCTGCCACGATAGCCGCAGATACGAGGTCCTTGAACAGAGACGCGAAAATTAACACTAGCTGGTCCAAAATATACAACTTCAACAATAGACCTTAAGCTAGTTAATGGCTCTCCAACTGACAGCCTGGCGTCAACCAAATAGTATCCCTCGATTTCAACTGTTGGCTATCTACATTTATTGATTGGACGCCCAGTAGGTTTTGAAAACGCCACAAACCTGCATATCCGAACTGAAGGGGCTTGGTGGCTTTGCCCAACGTGCGCCCCCTTTTATATGCTTACCCAGACAGTACTTGCAGTGTGCGTATTTCCATCCGGACATAAGTTCTTTGAGGAAATATGAACCAACGATATCTCATCTTCAAACCCCAATCATAGTAGCTGATATGGCCCGGGGGAAAAGACCGCTCCAATCCTCCGCCAGTCTTGTAGCGTTAGACACTACCTAGCCTGGACAAGATTGGTTTTGGACCGCAAAGCATGGGTAGCGCCGGCCATGGGGTTGTTCTTAGGCATTGGCATTGGATCCTTGTCCGAGACAGTGAGCTTCTGCGTACCCCTTAACCACCGCAGGAGCACTATCTCACAAAGAGCAAAGAGTCACTCAACACTGCATCTGCTTAATTACACTCTGCAGCCCATTAGCCCATCAACTGCAGCATAGACTTGCTTTTCTGAACTCCCAATGGATTTCCAGTTTTCCGAACAAGAATGCAGCACCCAGCAAGTCTATCCCGTCCTGGATTCAATCTAAGTGCTATTTATCTGCTTGGCAAAGACACCGGTCTCCTGTTCCGCATTGAGCAGCTCGGAGATACAACAGTACTAGCAGAAAGGATAACGAGGGAGTGTGTATGGACATAAACCTGGTTCTCCAAGGGCATTGGCACATGTTCCATTGATAAACTTTCCTCTTACCTCATACCCCTGAGCAGAGCCGCGGCCAGTGCCTATCGTATGGCCAGAATACGGCAACTATGCTGGACCGTGGGCTTGTGAGGTCACATATAATAGCCGCCAGTGCTATGTAGGAGGGCATGCCTAGTTGTTCATTAACCGCTATCCACTTCGCTTCATTCATAGCATTGTGGAAACCGAGACCAAGCACTGCTATGCATGTCGAGTTTGCTGACAACGTTTGGAATGCTGAGCCCCCTGCGAGATTATGACTCTGGGCTCTTCAGATTTTTGCTTTTTGTCAAGAAATCAGAGACTGGACAAGCCCCTCGCCAATACGGATCTAGCGTCTACCCAACTTATCACAGCACCCTTGGGGCATCATGGAACTTGGCTGCTATGATAAAAAAAGACAGAAAGTAAGCGTATGCCACCTCAGATTGGACTTTCAGGTCAGTCATCTTTTGTACACCATAATCTTAAATGTCAACATTTCAGTTATCCCCTAGAGCGTTGACAGCGTTAACAGGGGCTGAGTTGCGATAACCAAAGAGTCGCAGGCAGAGGAAAAGACAAATCCACCCACATCATAGGAGCACAAAGACAGGACAATGCGATGTATCTAGGCGGTCTCCATGACTATTAGTTACTATATTAATTTTCTGATAAGTGAATATTCGCAAGAAACAAAGGCTTGTAAGTAATCACGTGAACTTGGTCGTGCGCCACATCAGCTTGAGCCGCCTATGCACAACCGCCACTCCAAAGGCGGAAGCACCTTCTTTCACAAGTTGCCGGGTGGTGTTAGCAGCCGAACTTGTTGATGCCATTCAGACACAACGTTGATCCCCTTCAACTTGCTAAACGATAATATCTTTGCGCAATAACGCCAGGTCTCCAAAATGCCACCCGGTATGTTCAAAATTCCTTGCAGCGACATCTTCATAGCCCATGCATGCCTACTGCGCGCGACCAATGACGGCGCGTCGCGATTGCGTCTGGCACAACCCGACGAAACATCGCTTTCTATGGTTGCAACCCATTTTTCAAAGTTGCTAATCAATGCGCAGCTCTGAGTGACGATGAAAACTCCGACCTTGAGGAGTTTACTACACCCCCACGCGCTGCTCGCAAGAAGTCAACATCAGCCGTTGTGCCTGACAAGTTTGAGGACACCAAAGACGGGTCAGAGGAAGAGTTGGACGAGGACGAGTAAGATATCAACAGACCAATCAAAGGGGAAATACTGACGGGCTGCAGATTCGTTGTCGAGGCGATCAAAAAGCATCTCATTGACGAGGATGTAAGGGAAGCACACGACTTGGCTTGGTACATGTTAACCGTCATTGCAGGGCACTCTGAAGTTTCAAGTCAAGTGGGAAGGATACGAAGCCAAAAAGGATCTGACTTGGGAACCGGAGGAGAATCTTCGGTATGTACAACACTAACTTCAATGGTCGATAACGTCTCTCCTAACGAGTCACCCACAGTGAATCTGCTCAAGAAATCCTAGACAAATATTTCGACAAGCTCGGAGGTCGAGAGAAGCTATTCGAGGAGACAGAAACCGCATCCAAAACGAAGAAGCGGCGCCGAGCTACGAACGGCGGCACTCCTAGCACCACCGCCTCAACAACAAAACGATCTCGACAAGGCGATACGCACCCTGCCAACACTACACCTCCCGCCACATCCAAGCCATGGAGTCCGCCCGCGGGCTCATGGGAGGATGAGATCGAATCAATCGAGCTCGAGGAGGACGAAAACATCGGTAAGATCATCGTTTATCTGAGATGGAAGAACGGCAAGAAGACCAAGCACGACACGGATGTGGTTTACAGGAAATGCCCACAGAAGGTGAGTAACCTAGGCTATATTATATCATTTGTTAGGGGCATATGCTAATGCGACGCGGCACAGATGCTTCGTTTCTACGAACGCCACCTTAAGATCGATAGAGGCGAGAACAAGGAGCTTGTGGAAGAAGCTGAGAACTAGACAGCAAGCAAGGAAGCAGGCAGGCTAACATATGTCCTTGGTCTCGGGCTTTGCGAGAGGATCTCAACAGGAACGGCGTTTGGCGACCAATGGGAATATTATTTTGCATTTATGTTGACTTTTTTCTTTTTTAACCAAGATACGCGCGAGCGATGGGCATTCAGTCGGTAGTAGACTTGGTGTTTAATTGGGGGCATGTTCGTATTGCAATGCATGCGTACCGTACGTACGTACAAAAGGTTACTCCGTATCTACTTTAGAGAATGCGAATCACCCGATTGAACAACAACAGCAATTGATGGAAATGCATGACATGTGACTGGCGGTACCTTGCATTGAATTAGACGGAATCGCGGCATGTTAGCTTGGGTAGTTGGGTCTCTTTACTTTTTGGGCCTCAAGCTGACCGACCCTGACGCGACTTAACGCGATAATGGATACTAAAGTGTCTTAAAAGAGAATAAGGTGACGTTTTCTGCGAGGCTGGGAAAATCTGAAAGCTGTCCAGCGTGTCAGAACCCCTGGCAAACTCCACCATAAGACCCCTGCAACCCAGCTCTTTACTCCCAGCCTTGCCATTTAACGCGTCCATTACTTTACCGTACCTTAGTATCTACTAACTGAGTCTAGCTACAAGAGAAAAGGCGGTGGCGGGGCAACGACTTATAACAGAGTGACTGGCCATGTGTGATTAAGAGAGTGAGACTGAGACTTTACATTCCTACTCCCGTTTTTTTATTCTTTCATTCTTGAGAAACGAATCTAACGATTTATTTTTCTTGTAAAAAGATAGATACAGTGAAAACAGCTCATTTTACGATTTCTACGACATCATCCATCTATATCACGAAGCTTCTGATTGGTTGACTTGGTTGCACCGCTTCTTTGACTCAACTTCAACTCAACACTTGTTACTACGACATTCTTGACTGAGTATGTCGATCCTCTGCTTCAAATCTAGGAACATTAACTAACTCTGCGTCAGATTAAGATATTCTCTTAAACATCAAAACTATATTTGGTCTACAGCAAAGTCAACTTCACTCAATACACTCCCCTCACTCACTCTTCAACCGCCAACATGAAGAAAAACGACGTTATCGCCATCATTATCATCATTCTCTTCATCATCCTCGCCGGTGTCTCATTTGGAATCTGGAAGCTTGTCTCAATGGCCAAGAACCACATGAGCGCGACTGGGTCAAGCAGAAGCTCCACCGACATCGCCGACTAATTCAGAAAAACCTCGTCTTCCTGAACCACACTCCATCGACCTTCAACGGCTTTCTAGCCTCTCTTCTCGATACCCCTCCAAGCATAGAAAATGCTTGGTTGTTAACTTTCTTGTTTATTCCTTTTTGGGCACAGCGGTTTTGTGATAATGATCATATCTCATTATTTTCTGTTTTCTATTTTTTGTCATAACATAAAAATGATGGTGGAATGTGGGTTGGTAATGTCTGGACGGTCGGTTGGTGATTTGAATATAAATCACTCATGTTATGGGTATCGGCGCAACATGGCGGTTTTGATGAATAGGTCCTTTTTTTTATTTTTATATGTGTTATGTATACATGGGTGGGTGCAAGATAGACTGCTTTTACGATGTTAGGAAGTCAAGTATGGCATGATTAAGAACACAATGCAATGATTTTACAGCAATTATATCATCTTATCTTTCCTCTAGTATATCTATTCAATAGGCATCGCGCTCCAGCTCTCATCACAACTCGGATTGATAGTGAAATGCAAGTTGATAATAACTGTGATGGTCAATGACTGTAATTAAAAGATTCGTTAATGAAATTCTTGACCTTGAATTGTCCGTCTGTGACAAGACTATCCTAAAAGCATATGTATATAAACTCACGAAACCAACTACCACTTCCAAATAGCACAAAAACCCAGTTTCAACCAACTCTATTAGAACATATATAATCCGAATTCAACAATAAGTCCTCCCAATACCGCTACAATGGGAAGAATTGATATGGAACTCGAACTCACCGGCCTAGCCACTCTGGCTTCTAAGCTCAACCTCGACTGTCCGGAGTCTTTCGAGAATCCAAGAAGCATTGCTCGCTATCAAGAATACCCTTTTGCTCGCTTTAACCACGACGAGGATCAGCCTGATGTCATTGACAAGAACAGTGTCGAGTATCGTGTACGCCTCGCTAAGGTCATTCGCGCTCTCGACAATGCCTACGAAAAGACTTACACGAAGTACCAAGCCCGCAAGGCTGACTACATTGCAGAGCTGGAGGCAGACGAACAGCGAATGTGGAACCGTTATATTCTCGACCCAGCCTACAAGAAGTCGCCCATCGAGGGTACGAAGATCACCGGCTTTGACCGCATCAGCTTTCATGATACATTTGTCAAGGAAACCCCCGACTACAGTGACCTGCAGGATCTGCAGTGTCAGGTGTACTACATTGGAAGGCTGCTCCGCATTGGGCGCATGGAGAAGGCTCGGCTGGATGGTTCTGACTCTTTTGTTTATCTTCGTAACGAGTGGGCGAATATGGCTGGTAATAAGTTTGACGATGTCTCTGTTGACAGTAACCTTGACGATGGCTCTCAAGCTTGGTCTCGTTCTACTTTCCACAACGCCATTTATGATTAGGAATCGAGTGGAAGGATGCTGAGCAATCTGTGCTCTATGAAGATATCAGGGGTTAGACGAGAACAAGCATCAGAATAATCACAAATCATAAATCACCTCCCTTTAAGGCTCAAGTTCAACCCAAACAAAACTCTATTCCATTCGCCGGCTAGCGGCATTCTATCAATATGTATAACAAGAGAACCCCTAGTCTATCTATCTGGTTCCTTGATGCGAATCCTATTCAATGTACAAGAACAAAAAAGCAAACTCAATCAAACCACTGCGCCGTGTCGTAGTCGCTCTAGTTGCGAGCAAAGGGAGTGGGAGTAGGGACCACGACGGGCTCCTCAGGGGCAACGGGAGGAGGTGCAACAGGAGCAGCAGGAGGAGTGAAGACGGGGGCTCCAGGGACGGGGGTAGGGACCACAGGAGGAGTGGGAACAACGGGAGGAACAGGCACTGATGAGGCACGTTAGTAAAGATATTGATTCAAGTTGTGCTTGCGGTGCAACTTACATCCACTGCCAGGTTGACCGCCAACAGGGGGGCTAGGAGGCATAGGAGGAGGAACTGGCAACCAACCTCCAGGACCACCAGGCCCGCCGGGTCCGCCAGGTCCAGCTCCGGGAAGAGTGCCGTTCATAGGAGGGGGAGGGAAGAAACCTCCAGGAGGGCCGTCTATACGAATATTAGTACGTTATACGAAATTCTCTGGGATTGTAACTCACGGGGATGGAAAGGAGCAGCCATGGCAAGGGGAGCCACAGTGGCGAGGACAAAGGCAAAGAATCCGGACTTCATCTTGGTAGTTGTGAATAAGAGATAGTGACAGAACAAGATGTTATTGTTGTGGTTTTCTGGATAGAGAAGTAGGACGGCAGTTGGCGACTTGTAGACTTTTATAACGAGACGAGGCCAGCTCAAGAACAAACAAGGATAAAAGATGGATAACGATAGATGGGTCACAGACCAGGGAGTTGTTGATAAGAATAGAGTTAAAAGAATGGGATGGGTCAAGGAGATAGAACCTGTTTTTTTGACGAGAACAAGGCCATGACTATATAGTTATCTGTATCTGTGGCTACGTAGTCGTAGTAGGTCCGCAATCCCCCTTGATAGCCTCGCAAATCTTTACTTGGATGGAAGAATTTCTCCGTCCTAGTTTCTAGACCCCTTGAGTGATCAACGAGAATTGAGTCTGTTGTATTGGATGCAACCCACTGGCGTATTAGACGGAATTATCTGTGAGCGAACCAATAATGACACTAGGGTCTCGTCTTGATGAATGCTAGGATTTCAAGTGCAGGGGGGTGGAGAGGGAAAGCTTGTCTTGTCTTGTCTTGGGTGTTTCCCTGTTAGATGGTTGGACTTGAGGCTCACATGGGCTGCATTGCATATGCTGCCTATACCCAAGACGTTATAAATTAGCATTTTATAGGTGATTAATTATCCGATGTAAGCCGTTAGTCTAATCTAGGTAGCTTAAGTCAATTGTGAGATTTAGACATCAACATCTTTAATCCAACGTCTTGAATTCTCTTTTCCAACTTTTCGTTAATTCAGTCACAATAGTAAGAAAATAGATAACCTTGATGATCGTCCATTATGACGCTCGCTCAACTTGTTCGTCTCCATAAAACGTGTCCACAGTTTTCTCTGCTATGTAACATGCGACGCGTAATGCAAACAAAAGTTAGTAGGTAAGGAAACATTCCATCACTATTCGCTATTTCTTCCAGCCAAACAAAATGCCCCATAACCCAATTCCTTGACACGACCAGTTTCAACTTTTGTTTCTCCACCCGCCGTTAAAGTCAAAAAGGGAAGCTGAGTCAATGAGGCTCTCTCTGCAAGGTACAGAAAGAGGGAAAAACAAACATAACTACGTATCTTTACTGCAGATCTTCCTTCTCAACAGGGTTCTTTGCTACATATCAAGGATCTGACGACGTGGCCTCCACGGCAAGGAAATGGCTGAGATCCAGTGGATTCGAATGATGTGCAGTAACAGATAAAATTATAGGATAACGAAGCTTTGGAAGTCTTCTATACTTGCACGGTTATGTCTCATATCTATAATCTTCTTCTTCTTCTTCTTCTTCTTCTTCTTCTTCTTCTTCTTCTTCATGATGACTTTTGAGATCTGAATGGTGCAAGAATTGAACAACGTTGCATGTTGGACGAAACACGGAACGAATTGCTCCATATGGTATCTGCAGCGTCTATCCATCACCAGATGGAAATCACTCAGTCCATGTACCAAACATAGTATATCGTAAACTCTATCTGTTCATTCTATCTCTTTCATCTAAGCAATTCTTACACGAAGCATCAGCCCTTTGGGCTCCCTCAGAGTCCATCCAGGACCGTGGGTATCAACCTCTTTCTCTCGATCCCCATTTTCTATCCAGAATACTGCTCTTCATCATGCTTTGCTTCTCACCAACTCATGACTCCCCTGCCGCGATCAAATCCGCCTCGTAGCTGACGCTCAGGCTTGACGACCTTGCCTCTGAGCACAGTATATCGGATCAGGTTCTCACAGTCTTCAGGCATGACACGAGCAAGCCAGATGCCCTGCGCTGCACCAACGCTATCCTCTCCTGAACCATTGGCGCTGTCACCGTTCTTCTCACCATTGCCCATGCCGTTCTGCTGCTCGACCGTATCATCCAAGCCAAACGCATTGGGCCGTCGGTAGATCATTACATTAGCAGAATACTTGTGTCCTCCCACATGGCTGATGTAGTAGATACCCACTCCACCGGGCCTCTCATCGTGTAGATCCCGATACAGGCCGAGCGGCCTCAGCTGGCGCTCGAATTCCTTCCTTAAAATAGGCGCACTCTGCGCACAGCGGACATCACGTGTTCGGTGACTGCACATGAGGATAACAGCGTTATGAGGACAGTCGGTCAGAGAAACATCGGGAATGCCAGCAGCTGGATCCGGAGATGGCAGAGAAGCGGGAAGAGGTGTCGGTGTGAGAGGAGATGTGCTGGTGGGCGCTTGGTTGATGACCTCTGTAATGATTTGAGGCACGCTGAAAGGATGGACATTACGAAGAAGCTTGAATGCCGGCAAGAGTAGAAGTGTTGTGGGTTCAGAGTAGTCATCTGTGTCATGAGGAGTGGGCATATTAGATGCCGACAGCTTGAGTTTCTATGAGTTTTTTTTGTTAGCAATTGACCGCCTGAACATAACTTGTAAGATATAAATGAGTTAACGTGAATGAGAGACACTCTCACTATACTCATCAACTCGTGTAAGGCAGGTGGCAAACTAACTCCATTTGAAGGCTCAACTGCTTTGGAAAAAGCTTGCATGACACTGCCCTCTTCTTCTTCCACATCCCTCACCCAATCCGTCTTTCCCGTCCCAACAAGAACATGCGTACTCCAAGCTGCAACGAGACCATACAGCACATCCTCCTCCTCGATCTTAAAGCCCCTTGGATACCGGGCCGAGCAGTTGTCGCAATCGTGCAGACACTCCTCGCCGTCTACCTTGGGGTCTGTCTTAACGAACAGCTCCGATGCCGATGGCGGCTTGTCGTCCTTGGCAGTTCCGGAGCCTAGCACGGAGCTCACGAGGTTTTTGAATGATAGAGCCATTCTCTGCTTTGCTGGTGGGCGTGGAAGCCAAGACGGTGCGGCGGCTGTTGTTGAGTGAGAAGAATTGTGAGGTTGAGGGTGAGTATGAGTGGAAGATAAAGTCATGATCCAAGAGAAGCAAGTCAGTCGTCGGTAGTTTTTAGGGCCGTCCACTTCTGATGCCGTAGGTTCGGCTCGGATTTGACAATTTGGGTACTGAATCCACCAGAATAGGTAATTAATTCGTAATTAATGGATCTAACCGGTATACGATTGGATTTCCCTTAGAGCTTGTACTGATTGATAATCAAACAATCAATCAGTTAATCAATCTTGCAAGGATCAGTTAGCCGAGTTAATTACCTCAAAAACTCAAAAGAGGAAGCATGCAATGTCGAAATATCCAAATCATATTTACAGATTGGATGCTCGTCAATCCATTATATCCATAAGTGACTCCCGTAAATCTCGCTCTATTCCTTCGCTCTATTACTTACCCCGTCTAACTCCTATCACCGAGCCTGACACCATTGACTATCTTGTCACGCACGTCATTGGATCCGCTGTCAACTACCACAAAATACATCACCAAGTCATTCTTAATTGCTTATATATACCAAGGTACAGGAATATTGGAAAACAATATCTAGGTACTGATGGTTTTTCCGTGGCCTTGGGTAGCGTTAGAAGACTTCTAGATATAGACCCGGGCTGTATACACATATGGTAACGCCAAGAGCTTGTCTCATATATTGAACCATTTGATTTACCAAGCAGCGTCCAAGTGAAGACAACGAATGCCCAGAGAAGCGCATCACGAACGTATTATAAGAGATATAATGTACTGAAGCTAAATAAATAATACAAGATGTCCGAGCTACAGCAACTTGGCGTCTTCCAACCCCATTACCAGCCATTTTTATTTCAACGCTTACGCGTTCTTCTTCCTGGCTTCATCATATCCCTCCTCTTCACTATCATCATCCTCTTCATCTCCATCTGTCCTCTCCTGGTCTGTCTTGTGTCGGCGATGCTTCATCGCCTCTCGAATCTTGCGAGTCGCTTCATCAAATCCGCCACTCGAGTCAAGGGTGGTGAATCCACTAAGAGGGAACCCGCCAGATCCAAATCCGCCTCCACTGCTGCTCGAACGCGACCTGCTGCGGGCTCTGGATGGTGGTCGTGTAGAGAAGATACCCACATGACCAATGTTGCTGAACGAGTCGTTGCGCGGAAGGGCTCGGCTGGACTGTGTTGTGCTTCGTCGCGATAGTGCTGGTGGTGTTTCAGGCTCGAGACCAGTACTCGATTGGTCGCTATCTCGTCGTCGATGCGCCTTGGGAGATGTCGCGGCGCCGCCCTCGGCCTTGTACAGGTCGGGTACGAGCCGGGCTTTCTCAAAGTCGTCAAACATCTCAGGTCCAAGGGTGTTGATCACGTCCGTCACCTGAGCGCTCAGCTCAGCTCGCCTTATTCGAAATCTGTGGATGTTGTAGTTCGAGGTCGGTGTCAGGCAGAGCAGAAGTGGCCTTAGAGACTTGAAGATGTCGACGCCAACCTCACCGAAGCGCAGAGACGCAAATGTGATACCAACCATAAATGGCCACATGGCGAAATAGATAACCCACAGCGGTACGCTCTCCGGGACATAACCCCACAGACGATCCTGCCAAACCTTGAAAGTGACAATTGCAGAGTAGATGTGGTACAGCGTAGGCGCAAGACCAATTGCTACAAGAATCTTCCACGTCGCCATAACATCGCGGCCACGGATCTTGACAGTTGAGCCAGCCAGAGCCGTCTTGGCCTTTTGCCGACTGATGATTCTGGTTGCGACAAAGACAGGTGCAAAGAGGATTAGACCCGGCAAGGTGCAGATAAAAAGGAGGAGAAGCTTGATCGATCGGTAGATAAAGAGAAAAATGACCTTGGGCATGTTCATCTTAGCATACTGCACTTGATGATCCTTCAAGTTGAGGTATCGCAGTTGCGAGTTGTATTCCTTCACCGCAGCAGTCAAGGATGTGATGCGCTCATCATTCTTGTATCTCTCATAACCCATGCACAATCTTCGATTCAGCTCAATCACTACTGGGAGCGGGAGCTTTTTGCCTGTCGGATTGTAAAGTCGTCGAGCGGCCTGGATCACCATGAGAGTGTCATAATCGGGGGCGGAAACGGTGACTGAGTTGAGAGCCTGGTAGACTG